CTGGGTGGTCCTTCGTGGTCTTGGCAGTAGCGCTGGTAGAGCTGGCGCCCCCAGTATTGTTCTCCCTGTCCCTCATGAGTCCGTCGATGGTGTCGTTTGCTCTTATTAGAAATTGACTGGCGTCCTACGTCTTGTTTTCTCGTTAAAACAAGGAGAAGACGCGGGAGAGAATGGACTTCCCCAAGCCTTAACTTTATTTCAGTAGCAAAGCGGTCCAGCGCCTTGAAGTCCTCTACTTTCGCTAGGACCTCCGCCCGGAGCTCCCGGTTCTCCTTCATGGCCTTCATCGTCTCGTTTGAAAGTTCTCAGCGTTAGAGGCTGAGCCAGTTCATACCTGTCACGCCTAGATATTTGCCACGTTTTTCCTTCAAGTGTGACAAATAGAACGCACAGATTTGAAATGCTTCAACCCTTACGAGTAGAGCTGCTGGTGCTCCTCTTCCCGCTCGCGCGAGAGCTTCAGTTCGTCTTTCACGCCCTTAGCTATCACTCCTACGAGCGAATGCTCGTCAAGGATGTGATCTTTATCGTGTTGGTTCGCGTCCGTTTTCTGGTCCGCGAGGTTGCTATTAGAGCGGTTCGGCCTTCGTCACTTATATTGATGGAGGGGCATCCTCCAAAAGCCTAGCGCTTCCAATGGAGAGAAATCGACCGAAGTAGATCAGGTGGAACGAAATAGACAAAGTCGAACGAAAACGAAATAGAGAATATGGAACGAATTAGGAAGAACAGAACGAAATAGACAACGCGGAACGAAATGTCTACTATGGAACAGAGCAAGGAGAGTGAAACGAAATAGACAGAGTGGAACTAGATAGATCGCGCGGAACGAAGTAGGCGCAACTGAACGAAATAGATACTGATAACGTAAGACCAAGTAATGCGCTACAGATGAACCAACTAAAAAGAGCCATAAGGGTGTATTGCTCCGCCAACTCCCGAAGATTTTGGTGATGCGCTGCCAGCTGCGCCTCCAGCTCAGCCGTTTTCTCCTTTTGCTCTCGTAGCTTCGCCTCCTGCTGTTTGCACATGTCCCGCATGTCCGTGTACTTTATGTCCGCGACGTCCGATCGCTGAGTTGCTTCCATCATCTTGCCGAAAGCGCAGTCACGGGCTTCGATGGTGGCGCGCGCCACTGCCTGACGCCCTGGGCTCGGCCGTCCATCATGACGTTGCTCGGCGGCATGCTGTTGCTGTTGCTGATCTTGATCAGTGTCCCAATCCCTCTGCGGCATTTCTTCGCCCGCAGCACCCTCAGCATTTTGCCATTGCTCGTTATACCAACTCCACTCGCCATAGCGCTCGCCCTCGCTCATCTGCTCTTGTTGTGGGGCTCGTTGTTCGTCATTCTGTTGCGGGTCTAGCTGTTCGTCTGCATCGGTTTCAAGATTCTTAGAGGGTTCGCCATTCTGTTGCGGGTCTAGCTGTTCGTCTGCATCAGTTTCAAGATTCTTAGAGGTAAGAGCTTAGCGTTCTTTTATCCCGCTTGTTATGGCAGTGGCTGTCCTGCCTAGGAGAGCCATAACAAACGGGAACAGAATCACCCTGAGCCTAAGCCTACCCTTAAAATTCGGCTCGTTTACCTTCGAAAATCGCATGATGTTCGTGGCAGGTTTGCGGGCTGAGCCGAACGAGCTAACCCGGCGGGCCCCTGATCGCTGCAGGTCAGGTTCGTCCGGGGTGCGGTCGACCGGCTTCGGCGAGAAGTAGCGCGTCATTGCGATTTTACTGCGAAACATCCCAGAAGATACTCGCCGCTTGTTCGAGTTCGAAGCTACTTGTGCGTTAGGGCTGGCGGTGGAGATGATGGTGGTGCCTGGGAGTAACGGAGTAGGACTATCCGCCTGGATTCGCTGGAGGAGCTGCGGCAGCGGACGATCTCCAGGCACTGCGTCCGACGTCGTGGCGGCTGGACGTAAGACATACTCGCCGCCAGTACCTATGAAGTTGCCGCTCGAATGGGAAGAAGAGCGTCGGATGCAGTATAATTCTGACTCTGAGGTTGATCTTGTTCGTGAAGAAGAGTAAGAACGAAAACAATACTTAGAGAGACTGGCCACGATATGGGCATGGTGATGTCTCCCTACCAAAGTAGTCCATTGGTATTAGAATAGAAATGCCCTCGCATATGATAAATAGACTATGTATCTTTATACCAGCGGAAAGCTTCCCGAAGTCGTTGGAGATCGGGCGCGACGTCGGTTTCAATTTCAAACTCGAAGAACTAGGAGGAGGAATCTCAGGAGGCGCTCGCAATTCCTCGACTGTAACGACGCGCTCACTCTCAGGAGGCGCAGGAGCCTTTGGTGAGTGTTTGCCCACGCCGTGTTTCCGGAAATCGGCAAGAACAGCGGGAGGGAAATCAGTAACGCCAGGATAAATGCGCTGGGCAATCTTCCTCAGATCTTAGAACTATCCATAATTCATCTTTCGAGTGCATCCTTGAAAAGTATGGGAGGGCATTCCCTTAGGATACTCTTCCATACGTTTCAAGGACGCGGCCAGAGATGTATTAGGCACAGCCTTAAAAATCATCGTCAGAAATCGGGTTGGCAGCGCTATCGCTCGTAGGTGATGCTGATGCTGTCTTGTTCGACTTCGGAAACGTCTTCGCCGTCATCTTGTTGATGTTGTTGTTGTTGTTGTTGTTGTCTGGCGTGATGTCTGCTTCACTCTCATGACCTTCCGGGATCGGGTGCAGGCGCGCGATCGTGATCAAGTCCTGCAAATCGGAGGGGAAAGCCTCGAAGCCCGGAGGCAGCGCAGGCACACCAGAGGCACCACGATGGCCAGCAGGTTCGACGTTTCCTGGTTGATGTTCATTTACCTCCACATCGTTTTCAGCAGCCTGCTGCCAATCGCCATCTTCATCATCATCATCATCATCATCATGAGGATAATCGTCGCCACCGCTATCAATGCCTGAGTTGTCTTTGATCTCATACTGCTCCTGCTGCAGATTTTTGGTTTCCTTCTCCATCGTAGAAGCGTTGCCTTCTTCTTCTTCTTCTTCTTCTAGAAGTGCCATCTTGGCTGCGTTCTCTTTCTCCGCCCTCCTCGCTCTTTTCTTTAGAAGATATTTCCCAAGTTCATCCCTGAGGATATTCTTCAGGCACATGCGTCAAAGTCCCCCTTATGTTACGACACATGTGGCGGCTGAAAGATACCGCTAGAGATGGTGCGTGACTGAGCAAGACAGTCTAGCCTTAACTTTTTTGCGCGGATCGAGTTCGGGTCCGGCTTGCGTCCAGGGCGCTTCATCGCCGGCCCAGCGGAGCCAGATTCTGAAGCAGGAGACGCCTGCCCATTTGCTTCCTTGCCGGGGTTGGTCTTGCTCTTGGGCTTGGACTGCGAAGCCTTTTTGGCACTGTGGCTTTCGTTGTTGCTGTTGTTGTCCTTCTTCGTCGTTGTTGATGAGGAGGCAGAGCCTTTGGCTGTCTTACTCGTAGTCTTGTCGTTGCTCGTCTTAACGCCCTTACCTTTTTTGGCAGAAGAAGTAGAAGAAGACGCAGCTTTGCCAGCGCTGGCCTTCTTGTTCGCCACAGAAATAGCCGCCGCCTTTTTACTGGCGGACTTCTTCATCGAGCTCATCTTCGCCATATTGTGTTGACCTTCGAAGAATTGCGGTCGGTTCTGGTTGTAGCCATACTGCAAGAGCTGCTGACGAAGGTGCAGCATATTCGTGGATGGATCGGGGCCTTTCGGTTTTCCCATGCCGTCTTTGCCTTTCTTTCCCATGCCCTTGATGTTGGACTTGCCGGTAGGCATTCGCATCGACATGACCGAAGAAGAAGGCGATGCACCTGCAAGCTGATCATGACCACGAAACAGCGAAGAGGAAGACCCAGAAAAAACCGTAGACGACGATGTAGGGGCAGGATGATGAAACACCGAAGTGGAAGAAGACGAGGATGCCCCAGGCGCGCCCATAAGTGTACGCGTAGATGTAGCAGAAGCAGGCTGAGCGAACAACGCAGAAGATGTAGTTGTAGACGACGAAGCTGCTGCATACTGCCGACGCAGTGAACCGCCGCTGTTGGTGTGGGTAAACTCCGGCACTATCGGCACTGGCGACAATTAGAGCAGAAAGCAACCCTCTCAAGTGTGAGCTTCTTCATATGAACCCAACCGCACACGGTCCCGTGAGAGTGTAACGAAATAGAAAACAAAATGTAGCGACTTATAAAATGTAACGAAATAGAAAGAAGCAGAAAGGTGGCACTTGTTTGCAACCCTTAAGGCAGAAGCGCTCCCAAATCTTGAGAGTGGAACGAAATAGAAAAGGTAACGAAATAGAAAACAGAACAAAATAGAAAATGCTACGAAATAGAAAGAAGGGAGACACTTTGCAACTCTTAAGAAAGCAGCCACTCTTTTCCCTTTCCTTTTGCATCTTTGCCGGCTCGCAGCTTGATCGCAGACCCCGGCAGCGAGTTGTTTATCGCAGACAGCATCGAGATATCCATCCAGCTCTCGCCCAGAGGGTTTTCGTTGTTGGGGTCGACCAGTTCGTTCATGAAGCTCGAATCATTGTACTCGCCTGTTCTGACTGCCTCAGCCGTTACCTCGTCGACCGCTTTTCGCGTTTTGCTGTCCGGTGCCGGCGCCGTTGGATTCATGTGCGCGCCGTGCACAGATGCTGCCAAATGCGATTTCTTGAGGCTGTTCGGTGCCGGCGCCGCTGCATCCACAGCAGACGCTCCCACGCGCGAATTCTTGAGGTCTCGCTCCATTTTGATAAGCTGGTGTAGATTAGAGGGGAAGGGGAAGAAAGATAGGCAGAAAGAACGACAAATCCAAGAATCAGGAAAGGCGCCAGCGGTAGCCCCGGCTTGACACTTTTCATTATCTCTAAAGCTTAAGCTTAAGCTTAACCTTAAGGCTAAGCTTAACCTTAAGAAGCAACGACTACGATAACGAAAAGTGAAACGATTTCGATTACGATACGCATGCGCCTACTAATTATGGCTAATATGGCGCGCCGTAGTAGGATCGTAGCGCATCTCGTAGAGCTTTAAGGCTTTCGCTTTCGCCTTTTTACTGTCGATAACCGGATTCCAGATGATGTTCTCACTCGTGTCCTGACAGACACCGGAACGCCAGAAAAGATTTAAAAAATCTTCTGGGGTTGTTTGAACCACCTGGCGGGGGTCCACGAACGTCAAGCCGCCCCCGGCGTCTTTCCTGAAGAACTTCACTGCGTAAAAATTGGAGCGAGGGGGGATGGTGGTGCAAAAGTAACGCTATACCCCAGCAGAAGCCTAATGTCTACGAAATACGCAGGAGAAAGAAATCACAAAAGCCATAACAGAGCTGCCAATTCCTCCAGCCAGATCAACCGGACGCATTTCGACAACGGTATCAGCAGGATACGCAGCCGAAACGTTTGCCACAAAGACAAAGCTCGCGCCTGAATTGACGAAGTCAGCGTAGTGGCTGCTGTAGTCGAGGACCGGCAAAACACATCCTTGGGTGAATTGTTTCGGTTAGAGGTTGAGAGTTGGCCTCGCATGTCTTAGGCCATTGGCATTGATATGGCTCTCCTACTTGAAGAAGCCACCGAGATAAGATGCACAAAGAGACGCCAACTCCCAAGCCTTAATTTAACGTTGGCTCTTCCGAGTCCCACTGGGTCCTCGCTTTCGGGAGGGCAAGCGCACTACTCACGATTCCTTCCTCCTCAACCATGAACTTATGCAGCTGGCGTTCTGCGCGCTCAACGGCGACCATGCCGTTGCGGATGTAGAATCCCGGCGGAACGGTGCACTGTTGCGTCAAAAACAGCGATTAGAGGCACGAAAGAAAACGAAAAGTAATACGAAATTAATTGACAGATAAGCAGCGCGAGATGCTGTGATGATATCAAAATAGCACGAGGCCGAATTCAGTGGGACGCTTCCTTAAACTTCATCGCCACACCCTGGAACGCTGACCTCCACGAAAGCGGGGCGGACATTCCCGACGAAAAAGCTATCCACTAACGCGTCAACTGTCAGAGTGTTCCACTCTTCTGAGTCTTCCACACAGACATGGCCCTGCACCATCTTGCGCAAACCTGAGCGCGTGTGTGTGTTAGAGTGTAGCACAAAATAAGTGGACCGATATCGGATATAGAGCATAAGCATGCTGATGAAACACAAACAATAACAAAAACAAATTGAAGCTTCAAGTTCAACGAGGGAGGTCATAAATGAAACGAACGAAGCAGCTGCCCCATTACAGAAACAAAATAAAATCCGTAGACGATGCTTTTTAGATGTTCACTACCTGGCTCGTCCTTCTCTTCGTCGTCTGCCTTTTCTTTCTTGTTGCCTCTTTGTTTCTTTGTCGGCTTTTTGACTTCAACGTTCGCCCATTCGTCCACAATGAGGATGTGGAAGAGGTTCCGCGGAACGTAATCGAGGGATGCGCTGCCATCGTTTTTGCGCACGTGTTCCGCGCGCTCAGTGGCATCAGGATCGTAGGTCGCGTCTAGGCGTTCTCTGATGCGGTTCATTAGAAAGATTTCAATACCGGTGGACTCTTGCAGTCAGCCTGGTCCTGAAGCTATTCTGAGAATACGAACGAAGAAGACAAGAGAAACGAGATGGATGGAGATAAAAAAACTGCTCGAAAGAATGAGAAACAAAAGTAAGGGAACAGAATCAGACTCAGAATCACCAAGAAGAGCCATAATTTTGCATGCTCAGCCCTGAACATTTTGCGCTTCGACTCCATAACCTCCTTGATGAGGTCGAGCGGCTGCGTTTTGATCACTTCTTTCCAGCCCTCCGGCGGAGCCGTGCACGCCTTTCCAACCTGCATTATTCCCTCACCTTGCAGGTCCTGAATGTAGACGCCTTTAGTTGGTTCGATCGCCCATAGCATTTCTTAGAGGTTGAGAGGAGGGGGAGGCATTTGGCTCTTCATTCTTCCATAATCAAGCTCAAGATCAACAAGCAGAGTAATAAACTCGGAGGGAGATGAAAGAAAAGGAAAAGCTCAAGTCTAAGTAAGTTAGTAAGAATCTATCATGGCCGAAAATGAAAAATAAAACTTTCCTCGGCCTTAATTGTTGCCCAGCACTTTGTTCACTTTTATATCTCCAGGCGCTACGATTAGACCAGGCTCCGCCCTCGACAGAAACGGCACATGGGCACCGATGAGGTTCCTGTAGTTCCGCACAAGGTCAGCGCGAAGAGGAAAAACTTCGAAAACAGCTCGACTGTGTTCTAGCTGTAACTCCTCCCGCAAGTCGTCTACCTGGTCTTCCAATACTTCGAGACGTTCGCGTTCGACGCTGGACAGTTTTTCCTTCGTATGGAGGACGCTAAGAGACCCCTCAAGTCCCAAAAGGCGGCCCATCTTCAGGATGACCTGCCACTCGACTGCGTTCGCATCGAAGATATCCCCCAGAGAAATTAGAAGGGGAAGACTCAAAAATCGAGCCGCTAGATATGACTACGACAACGCGGCCGAAGCGCAACATATAGCACGCAATTTGTCACAAAGAAAGATGAAACAAAGGGAAAGAAAAAGACTACGACGCAGAACGCATCCAAGCCATAAAAACAAGCGGTATTCTCGCAGTCGGTCCTTCGACTTAAACTGGATCCGCGTCTTGGTGCAAAATCCGAAATTTGCAACGATGCAACAACCCAAGAACAAGTCAGCGTCTGGGATGTCTGTCAGCGCCCCCGCGAGGTCGTTCTGTGTGGTATAGTATTGATTTGAGAGCAAAGATTTGAGGCGAAACAAATTCACAAGCTACAAGGACGAGAAAGCGCCCCTACTGATCAGAGCGATAGACCTCAGGCAAATGCAAATCAAGAAAGCTAACAGTCGAAAAGAAGTCAAAAAAGAGAGCAAGAACACGACCTTGAGCATCAAAGTGAGAGAGCACCCACTAAAACTAAAAGACGCAAGTACATGGATAAAAGAAAAGAGCGGGCTTTTCGCGACGCCATCGGTTTCCAAAATAAACGTTGAAGCCGCCTGCTTTGCAATTCCTCCTCCTTGCATATCATCCCCGTCACCAAAGTAATCCTTATCCGCAAATGTCTTCAGCTGAGTCATCTGCCCGTCCGTGAGTTGCTCAATGCAGGCACCTCCAGCGACTTCGCGCTGTTTGGGTTTGAGTGGAGCGAAGTGCTATTTATGTTGAGTCTGAAACTGGACGGAACTGGTACTACATGGGTGAACGTGAACAAGAGGTCCATAAGGATAAGCATAAACTGAATAAGTGGCAAGAGTCAGGCCACAGCTTGAAGAGTGCGAGACCATGGATAAGCCTCAGCTTCGAACGAAATGGGTAAGCCTATGATGTCCCGCATTCAAAAAAAATAATAATACCCTTAAAAAACTCATTTCGTCTGTGGTGCCAAGTTTTTCCGCGAGCGCTGGCGTCGCTTTCCACGATTTCCACTTTTGCGACGCCATTTTGATTTTTGGTATGACTTGATGTAGCTGCATAGGCATGCTCTTCGCGTCGTCATTCCCAAGCCCCACGGACGTTAGAGATAAGAAGCAAGTTCTTTTTTTGAAGTATGGACTTGAAGCATGGACTTGAAGAGAAAAACCAAAATCAACGCTACGTATATATAAGGTGCGACTTTTAAACCATCATAAAAAAACAGAAGCCAACTGCGGAAAGGCAAGCACTTCTGGCAGCATTAGAGCTCAGCGCGATTCTCTCTTCACTTCCTGCGTACATTTCTCCCAAGCCTAGCGCGGGCGCGGCGTAGTTTTTTAGTGTAAGTGTTTGGAAGAAATGACGCTCAGAAATGAAACGCGTTGACCCTTAACCGCAGGATAACCACCTCCTGGCTCGCCCTGTCGATCTTCTCCTGCAGATCCGCAG